TCAATATAATTGGGATGAATAACTTATGCGCCGGTGCCAGACTCTAATTAAACTCATAATTGAAGAATCAAATTAAACACATCCATGCTACTCAAGCGCCAGTGCCAGACTCTAATTTCCTGATTTTTTACTACAAACAACAAAAATCTCGAATCAACACTCGATAAACATAACTTATGCTAAAATTGAGACTTGTAACACCTTAAAGCTAGGAAAACCCTCAAAAGCCGACTCCAACGCGCATCAAATGCTTGTTGTAATACGAACTTATCAGTGTGGGAAAAGTTATCAAGCTTACTTTCTCCCTTCACTTTAAAAAGTGCACTTTTCCTATATACCCATTTCAAGAACTAGTTTTGAGCCTATTTCAAACTTTGAGGTTCAAACTCCAAAACCAAATGTCAACTCAATGGTCAAAATTTCCAAGAGTCAACCTTGAGATTTAAAAAAAAAACATTATTAATTAAATTCTTTAAAAAAAAATTAAAAAAAATGTTTTTTAAAAAAATCTCAAGGTTGAAAACTATCATTTATAAAGGTCAAAGCTACACTTCAAAGTCCAGAAACTTGCAGAATACTTCAATCAAACTCGCGTCAACGGTCCTTATTCAAGAATCAACGATGGATGTCTCCCCTAGCTCATCAACATTGTGATCAATGTGCTAAATTTCTAACTGATGAACTCAGGGTAAAACCACCATGTGTGATACTTGTACAGATTGATCCACATGCATGACGGGCATGACGAGCTGTGAGCAATCAACCAGTGCACATTATCAAGGGGAGTATTGGCGTGTATACTCTCCACTGAGCTGAAAATCAACAAATGCACAACCTAACACCAACACATGCCGAGAACAAACAACAAGTTCATATTCTGAGAGGGGGTATTCCATTTGTCATTCCTCTTGATGCCATACAACAAAAAACGCACACTTTAAGGTGGAGTTTTCAATCTTACTCCCCGGGTGACAAACAACAACACATGAAACTTCTGAGGGGGTTTTTCTTTTTCTCCTCCTAGTGCCATACAATGATCAAAGCAAGGATTCTCTAAAGGATGCAAATTTTTAGGGGAGTTTTCAATTGTCTCCTCCCCGATGCCAAACAATGACAAAGCATACCGAGTGCTCCAGTTGAGGGGGAGCCAGAGAGAAAAGAAACTAAGATCAATGAGAGATTAGTCTTGATGGCTCAGTAAAACCCAATTGAGCCTACCCAAGGGACAAAGTCGAGCGTGAGTGAGTGAGCGAGTGAACATTATGACACTGAGGAAGCAGAAGGCTCAAGTGAGCAAGAGAACAATAATCAATGATAAGTCTGCCACCTCAATCGCACTATCAAACGAGAATTTACTCTCAGTCACTCAAATACTCCGGACAATCCCTATAGGTTCAAGACTGAATTTATTTAGATCCCGGGTAGAAGTCATCACATTGTGTCCAAACAGCAAATGCACAACCCTCTCATAGATCACTCATTTGTCTCCCAACAGACAGATGTTTAATCACAATTCACAGAGAACCTCATCTCTCATTATTTTCTCATTCTGAGGCGAGTAATAATGACTACAGTGCACCTCAGCCCCATGCCACGTACTGAACTTCCATTGATCACGTCGTGTCTAGTTTTCTCACTCCTAAATCTTTTGAATTTTCTAGGACACAGACACATTTTTAGAGTCAGTTGCTGGTCCTCACGAATCGTGAGAACAACCATAGTGACATCTACTTTAGATGCCTCACGATGATTGGTTGGAAGTCCTGTTAGAGCTGTAACGTCTCTATCATTATATACAGGCCACACATCAATGTTTACATTGATGTTGTGATAACGGAACACCAAAGTGTCTCTGGTCATTATCCTATCATTTTCTTTCTTGTTCTATTTTATTTTCCAGAATAAAAGAATAAAAGCATGACGTCCCGATTCATCGGATCATGAGGGGGAGAGTGGTCCACGTGCTATTTACTCTCAAAAATCATTCTCGGACACTTCTCTCTTCCAGCTCAAAAACGACAGCTCCCTTTTCTCTCAGGTTCATCAACGGCCAAGTCAGCTTCAGATCTAATGGTCATCTATGCTCACAAGTCAACCATGATTTTCCGCTGTGCCACCGACAACTATTCCTCAAAAGTATTCACGATTGAATAGTCAGAAAATGCTACATTCTGGAGGATACGGAGGTCAGATGATCAAATACTGAAGTTAAATCCCCTGATGGCTCAGGGATTCTAGAGGTGGATGCCGCAGAAAGCGGAGCACGTGCGTTTGAGTTACATCACCCCTAGAGACTTGGAAGCGTCTTCCGGACGGTGCAAAGGGAGATGGGCCAGCACAGATGGATCCCGAATGGAGTGTGTGTCTGGGCAAGTTGAGCAGCCACGATAGCCAAAAAGGTGAGCCCTCCTTCCTCGGGAAGGGAGGAAGCACCGTTTCTGAAGGGGTACAGACATTGCAACGCGGAGCTGTTACTCAAAGTCCTGGAAGCACTGCTGATAAAGGGGTACAAACCTCGCAACGCAGAGTTATTACTCGAAGGCATGGAAGCACTGTTGATAAAGGGGTATATACCTTGTAACGTAGAGCTGTTTCTCGAAGGCATGGAAGCATCGTTGCTAAAGGGGTGTAGACCTTGCAACGCAGCGGCAACCAGGAAGGAGGCCCTCCCGGCAACACTCGTCCTGGGAAGGAAGGAAGCACCGTTGCTAAAGGGGTACATACCTTGCAACACGGAGCTGTTAATCGAAGTCCTGGAAGCATTGTTGCTAAAAGGGTACAGACCTTGCAACATGGAGCTGATCATGAAGGTCCAGAAGTACCGTTGGTATGGGGTTACAAACCTTGCAACGCGAAGCCATTCCACAAGGGCATGCAGACCGCCAGGCTGAGGCAGAAGACACTGAACAAAGGAAGAAGGACGAAGAAGAAGGAATGAAGGAAGACAAAGGGAAGTGTGATGACCCGGAAGGCGAGAACACCGATAAGAAGCGTGGTGGTAAGGGCGGAAAGTTCAAAGGCAAGAAGAACAAGAGCAATGGAAAAGCAGATGCCCCGAGCGGTCCACTCTTACCAACCAAACACCTAACACCTATAGCTCAGCCAGTCGGGACGATTCTCGACTACGCAGAGGAACAAGGCCTAGTAATCTTCCTTTAGGAGTGTGACGTGGTCACCATCAAATGGAACACTGACCAGTACTGTAGATGCCACAAGAAGAGGTGCACAAGCATTCAAGTCACACCACTTTTGTGGATATGAAGACGTTCTCCGAACGATACAAAGACGCCCTATAACGCTGAGATTTGCAGCAACGTAGAAGCACCGTTGCTAAAGGGGTACAAACCTTGCAACGCGGAGTTGTTCATCGAAGGCCTGGAAGTACCATTGCCAAAAGGTTACAAACCTTGCAACGCGAAGTCATTACATGAAGGCATCCCAGCTTCGGCAGAGGAGCTCGGGGTCCATGCCATCAATAACAAACGTACAAAGTACGAGGAGGGTTAGCTCTGTGATGAACCCACCTCTCAAGTCGAAGAAATCTAGGTCAACCTTGAGGGACCAGAACAGAAGATAAAGATCGGTGCAGGGCTCCCGACCAATCTTACAAGTTGAAGACCACAACAGAGAAGCTTGTACATCAAATGCAAAGCGCAGTTGACTTGGCCAAATACTAGGATACCTATGAGCGGAGCTCTGCAAGCTTGTAGATCAAGTGCGAAGCGCCGAGAACCTTCTCTAATCCTAAGAGTGGAGTACCCCAAGCTTGTTGATGACGTGTGGATTGCATACTAGCTCTCTCACATTCTATGAGTTGATCATCACAAATTGTAGTTCAAGTGCAGAACCGGAGCAACTCCTCAAGTTCTCAAATTCTTTCATTACTTAGAAAAAATATATATTTCGTTTTCCAATCTTGAATTTGATGAGGTCCGACCTCACTTGGAAATCAACGGGCGGCGGCTAAAAAAAGAGCAAAAAAAAAAAGAAAAAAAAGAGAGAGCAAAAAAGGAGAGAAAAAATAATATATGTATACCACGTCCTGCTCTCGGTGTTTAGTCGACCACGGCTCGGCCCTCGGGCAAAGAAATAACCAAACTATTTTCTATGCCCTGGGTTAGCCGCTCGGTCAGGGCAATTGTAAGACCGTCTTCCGGGTCGAAAAGGTATGCGAGAGGTCACGCCCCGAGCCCCGAGCCCCTCTTGTACATACGTTGTCTGACGTTGTTGTCTAAACATCTCGCATGCACGTATGATCCAATCAAGGATGCAGCAACTATATGACTGGTCTTCGGACCAAAGGAATGTGAAAGATCGTGCTCCGAGCCCCTTTCGTACATTCGTTGTGTGACGTTGCTAGGCTTAACAGCCCGCATACGCGCTTGATAGGATCAACGGCGTGGGTCCGTTCTGGTCTGATCATGCAGGTCCTTGACCTTATGTTTGGCCGAATTCAGTTCGACTTTCAGAAAGGGAACAACCAAAATATTTTCTAAGTATGAAACTAGCTGTACAAGTCAAGGTGGTGTAAGACCGACCTCCGGGTCGAAGGTATGTGAGAGGTTACGCCCCGAGCCCCTCTCAAACATCCGTTGTCCAATCGCCGGTCGAACAACTTGCACAACTCGTCGGTCCTAGACCGATAGTGTGCGGGTCTGCCCCGCCTTACCCAGCAAGGTGTGGTCAAGGTCGACCTTGTTGACTTTCCGCCTCTCGCGGCCTAGGTGGGGGGAGCTAGATCCCCGATAAGTTATCCAAGTATTCTTGAATTAAAAACGACTAAGTATTCTCCGAGGTTATAACTTTGATGAATTATTGAACATTGGTTTTAGTACTTCCGAAGAATATACCGTTTTTAGCTACTAAAAATAAGTTCAATACTACTCGTACAATAATTCCGTTTTTATAAACTGGATATTCTGAATATCAAAGGGCTTCTACCTTGAATATTACTAATTTAAAGTCAATTACCAAAAATGTGACCACTTTTGAAAAAAGACAAAAATGTGACTAAGAAGGTCATATATTTGGAAAATATTGTCACTGCAAAATTTTTATGTCACTGCCATATATCACTTCCATATTTTTATGTGACTTTTGAATGTCACTACCGACTTTCGTGTCACCTTTGGACATCATTGTTGCCGTAAATCGTGTCACTGTGATCGTCGGAAAATTTCCAGGTGACTTTTTCGGGAAAATAGTGACCTCTCACGCCGCCACCTGCCACGCCGCCGGCACGACCATCACACTAGTATGTCCGTCTCTCATAGACCGCCCTGCCCATCCCCCGCCCAAACCCCAAAACCAGTGGCTAACCGCCATCCGGCCCGGTGCCCGCCGCCACATCGCCCCACACCTGTGCCCTCCCCACTGCCCCTCCCCGCCACAGTCGCGACCACTGCTCCGGTCGAACACCGCCATTGCCTAGTGACCAACACCACTGTCGCCCCTTCCACATCCACCGCTGCCCCTGCCATATCCACCGCCCCTGTCATGGCCATCACGGCCGTACCAACCTATCACTGTTCCCCAGCCCCCCTCTCTAGTCTCCCTTTCCTTTCCATCCTCCGCCTTCAACAATCTCCTCCAAACCAACCATCTCAGTCTGAAACTTTAGCCAACAATTTCAATTGCAAAATCATCCTCCGCCCTTGCCCATCCCTCTTCCCTACCCCTGCCCCAATAATTTCCCCAACATGATGACTCCATATCAGATATGTGCATTCCAATGAAACTCATAGACATAGGTGAAAAGAAAGAAGAAGAGAGTATTTGAAGCAGTGACATAGCTATTGCGGTGCGGAAAGGCGACGATGACGACGATGCGTCCTTAAGCACTGGTGGAGGTGACCGGTGCGCAGAAGCGGCGGCGACTGGTGTGTCGCTGCAAGCCACCGGAGAAGGCGAACGACCTGGAGCGAAGGTAGGTCTCCTGGAGCATGCGCATGTGTGAGAGGGAGCGCAGGTCTGGAGAAGGAAGACGATCGGGATTCTATGAATTTGGGAAAAGGAAGCAACCGTACCTTGGAAAAAAAGGTCACTTTTATGGAAAAAAAATAAATCAGTAACATTTTGGGAATTAGAAATTTGGGGAGTAATATTAGTGTCATTGTTTCAATATCAAATCAACGACTTTTTTATTATTGTTTCTAAAAATCAAATTTAATCACTTATATGTTACTACCTCTGTCCCGTTATGATTTTCCCATTTTACTTTATCGATCTGTCCCACTAAGATTGTCTCATACCAAATTTGGCAAAGTTTGTGTGGCTCTAAATCATTCTTACTTTATTCTTATTTTATCAATTCAATATCAACCACATAAACTACTTTTTATTGATTTGCGTGTCACTCCCTCTTGTCCCATTGTTAGCGGGACAGAGAGAGTAATAAATAGAAAAATAGGTAATAATAATCTGAACTATACCCGGTCCGCTTTTAATAATCCCTATTATTGATTATTTCCCTGTAGTCCCAACTTTGGGCCCCCTTTTCCTAAAATGCTCCCTGACCGATTAACATAAGTTATAACCGGAACTAATAAACACGTGCAGCGTACATGTAATACTAATTATACATTAAAACTCATGCTCCTCTTATCTTCGTTGTCGTCCACCCAAATGAAAGGTGAGCACACTGAAAGGAACGCAACCAAATCGTCTTCTTGTTTTCTTCTCAATCGAGACGCAAGAACTCAACCAACGGCACACGACGGCGAAATGGGTTCGATTGTTGGGTCATCTTCATGGGGTAAAAGGGCTGAAAGCAGTGGTTTTTCAAATCAGTGCTACCACAGAGTGTCCTATGAACCTAAAATGGTGAAAAACGGGCTAAATACTGTGAGACAATTCTATGGGTGTGCATTGTGGCCTGTAAGTTATTGAGTACTCCTTCGACTTTCTCTTTTCATAATGGTTTAACTTAAGAAGTTTGTAGTTAGTTCTTATAATCTGTAAGAAATCTGTAAGTTATTGAGTACTCCTTCGACTTTCTCTTTTCATAATGGTTTAACTTAAGAAGTTTGTAGTTAGTTCTTATAATCGCAAGCAAAATTCGAATGGACTTGAGTTTTGCAACTGGCGAATAGGTGTCACTATAGTCAATTCCCTCTCTTTGACTATAACCTTTAGCCACTAGCCTAGCTTTGTATGTTTGCACCTTGCCTTCGGCATCAATTTTCTTCTTGAAAACCCATTTGCATCCAATGGGTCTAACCCCAACAGGCAAGTCAACCAAGTTCCATACTTGATTGATATACATCGAGTCCGTTTCAGATTTCATGGCCTCTCGCCACCTCTCTGAATCAATATCTAATATTGCTTCAGTGTAAGTCTTAGGTTCATCCTTGTCAGGAATTTCAACATCATCATGATCCTCCATGAGGAAGCCAAACCTAGTTGGTTCATGACGAATCCTAGTAGACCTACGAAGTTGAATATTTTGCGATTGTTCAGGCTGCTCATTCTGTTTGTGAAGAGGTTCTCTTTCATTGGACTGTCCAATGCTCGGAGAATTTTATGGTGCTACACTTTTAAGTGTTTCCAGAGAAGGAGAAGTAGGTGCAGAAGGAATGACAACCATGTCATTTCTTTCATGCCTAATAGGAACCACTTGCTGGTGCGAGGTGCTTCCTATATTACCCCCACTAGCTGAAGGATATCCTCCTAGAGACATACTTCCGCTTAATCCTCCCACTGAATCCTTGTTTTGACCATCTAACAAGTCTTCATCCTCTATGTTATTTTGTGATTCTTGAATTTCTTCTAGTACTATCTTCTCACGATTGAATTCCTTGAAGACAAAGTCTTCTTCTAGGAATCGTGCCTGTCTGGAAATAATGATTTTATGTTCCTCAGGATGATAGAAATAGTATCCCCTAGTTTCTTTAGGATACCCCACAAAATAACATCTCTCACTTCTAGCTCCTAACATATCAGTGTGCAATTTCTTTACATAAGCAGGGCAACCCCACACTTTAATATGTGAAAGAACATGCTTCTTATTACACCATAACTCATATGGTGTCTTTTGCACTGATTTAGATGGAACTCTATTCAGAATGTATATCGAAGTTTGCAATGCATACCCCCAAAGAGATGTTGGAAGAGACGTGGAATTCATCATGGACCTAACCATGTCTAACAAGGTTCTATTTCTCCTTTCAGAGACACCATTCAATTGAGGTGTTCTTGGAGGAGTCCATTGTGACTGAATTCCCTGACCTTTTAAGTAATCAAGAAACTCCTTACTCAAGTATTCCCCTCCACGATCAGATCATAGAGTCTTGATACTCTTGTCAAGTTGCTTCTCTACTTCAACCTTATACTCCATGAATTTCTCAAAAGCTTCTGATTTGTGTTTCATAAGATACACAAATCCAAACCTAGAGAAATCGTCAGTAAACGTGATGAAGTAAGAAAAACCTCCTCTAGCTTGAGTTGGGAATGGTCCACACACATCTGTGTGAACCAATTCAAGCACTTCATTGGCTCGTAGTCCTTTTCCAAGAAAAGGTTTACTCGTCATTTTAGCTGAGAGACACGAATCACAATTACCATATGATTCAAAATCAAATGGTGTTAAGTAATTTAATTTACTTAACCTTGCTATTCTGGCTTCATTAATATGACCAAGCCTACAATGCCAAAGATATGTGGTATTTTTCAGATTACTTAACCTTGGTCTTTTATTTGTACATTTAATATGACATGTCTACAATTAAGAACATATAAACCATTCATAAGAGGAGCATTTCCATACACAATACCATTTTGTGAAAAACAACAAGTGTTATTAGCAAAATGAAAGGAAAAACCCTCAATGTCTAACATAGGAATGGAAATTATGTTCTTTGTTATAGAAGGAACAAAATAACAATTATTTAGTTCTAATCTATAACCACTGGGTAAATCTAATATATAAGTCCCTACACGTTCAGCAGCAACTTTTGCTCCATTTCCTACACGTAGGTCAATCTCACCCAGCCTAACTGCTCTACTGTCATTTAGGCCTTGCACACTATTGCAAATGTGTGAGCCACAAGCCGTATCTAATACTCAACAGTGAGAGTTAGTTGTAGACATATTAATATCAATGACAAGAAGCACTCGGTGCTTTGGCTAGATTAGTCCTGTATATCTCACAATCTCTCTTCCAATGTCCTATCTCTTTGCAGTAGAGACATACATCATTTGGTACCTCAGCAATGTGATTCTTCTGAATGTCCTTGTCAAACATGGCTAATTCAGAAGAGCTAACATCAAGGATCTCGGGTACACATGTATCAAATACATGTTCGATGATTTCTTGCCTAAGAACGAAACACATATTTTGTTCCAAGTCTAGAAAGTTTGGTTCAATCAGATTATTTGTATCCAAGATACTTCTCAATGATAAATTCGACATACCTAAAAGCCTATAGAATTTCAAATAGAACAGAATTAAAATCATATATTAATTCCTATGATCACATCTAGTTAACTAAATAATATGGACTTTTAATTATTTAGCTCCCACTATTTTTACATGATCTTTGACCCCAATAAAAGGAACATGGAATGTTTTACAATCATAGTGGCCAAAATCCTCATTCATACTATTACAGTCTCAGTTTGGGCTGATCACTGCAATAATATAATGGGTAGGTCCCCGGACCAATTGCGTCCAAGCAACTTTTGGTTGAACAATTTTTAATTGATCGACATCCTTAAATTAACACTGACGCTTGGGCGACTCGAGCTAATTTAAGTAAGTCAAAACCATCTCACGATCACAAACATATGTATCTATAAATTAGTTCTATATTTTGTCGAATGGAATAAACACTTGGGTGAAATATTCTTCAACGAAAAAATATATCTACTAATTTAATTATGACGGGTGATGTCGTTATCCCAGATTAGACTTAAATTTTAATTTATGGGGAACATTTTATGGGGTATTAAATTATTTTATCAAGATGCTAATAACATATTATCAAATAATATGTTGATGAGATCTAACTCAAATAGATAAATTAAAGCATGCAACATAAATCTAATTTATAAACAAATACAATAATCAAACAAATAATTAAGCATGCTTAAAACAATAATACAATAATTATAAAAGAAACTCTTAGAAACTTAATCTAACCTAATTAGAATTAGTTTACATTAAGTTCGCATCAAGACTTCCAAAGGATTTGAAACAAACCAAACTTCCTAGAGTCCTTTGCTGAATGAACTTATCTCAAAGGAAGTCTCAAAATTGCATCTAATACGGAGTATATTATAACGAATCCTGCTTTGTATGGAAACTAAATTTATTTACACATCAAATCTCAATCTTTTTATGAAATAATATGTCCCAATGATAATCACATAGACAAATAGCAGATGCGTCGAAAAAGGAAAGACGCGAGGACATCAGCGTTGCTCAAACTTACCTTTACACTTGGATTTCAGATTTTAGTTTCTTAAATTAAGTAATTCAAATCTGTTTCAAAAACAAATGCAAACCCAATTTTGAAAACATAGGATTAGAACAAATCTGTTCTGAAAAAGCAACACCAACCAGAAACGACAATATTATTTTGCGGTTGGACCGTCCGATTTCATATTGTCTGCACTCCGAAAGATTTTATTTAATTTCGAAAATTAAAAAAAAGCAAACAATTCTAAATCTGAAGAACACATATTTTCAACCACGAAATTGTCTATTAATATTCATGTAATGTCATTAAAATCAGTTTGTCTCTGATACCACTGTTAGGAAATTGATGTAACATACCTCGAAAGTACAGCAACGGAAGTTTAAAATTTTTCCAAACAGATCTTCCCTGATTATGACAAAACAACGAATATAACAATGATAATAGATCTGAGTTAGAACTTACAGATCTTCCAGCCTAGCGGTGATAATCCTTGACCTTAGGTATCCACGTGATTTCTCCTTTCCGAAAGAACGGTTAGATTTCCCTAAGAGAAAGACTAGGAAATCTCTTCGCAGGGAACTAAACTGGTAATACTGAATCTTAAAACTGGTCTCTGAATTATGAAGGATGATGATGATTTATACTAGTTCTAAACTAGTTTCCCAATCACAATGAAAGTCTTTCTCATTAATGAGTTATAGTCCTAACAGGACTAATTCTTATTAATGATTTAATCAATTAAATAAAACAAATAATAAACTATAATAATATTAAGGAAGGAGAGGGGCTGCACACGCCACCTCACTTCTCTTATTATTATTTATTTATTATTCATTTCTTTTAATTCAAAATCAAAAGAAAAAGCCATCTTTATTTAATTAAAAATACATCTTAATTAAGCATAATAAATCTAATTTATTTTACTTAATTAATTCTATCAAATAGAACTCTCCTTCAACTTCATGAATTAAATATGTTTAATCTAATTAATATTTAATCTATTTCCAGTATTATGAATTAGATATTATTTAATCCAATTAATATTTAATTCCTTCTAACAATTCAATCGGAAGGTATAATCGCTTGTTGTGTGACCCATAGAGCCTTATATATTAAGCACTAATCAAATTAAGGTCTCAGCGAATCCCTAGACGATTCTACAGACAAACTTAATATATAAGGACGTTTGCGAGTACTATTCAAACTCCCTGTAATATAGAGCTCATAGCGATACAGTCCTTTCATTCAGCGAACATTCAACTAAGTCTAGAACATGATATTGTGTCTATCCCAATAACTCAGTCTCTGTCTCTCCATCTTTCTAGATGATCCATAACGATCATATTCGATATCCAAAACGAATATATCTTTGCATTGGCCAATGACTTTATGATCTATCTAGATATGAGAAGTAGAATGTTCTCTCTTAATCTATTACGAGGAATGAATTCTTTCTTGGCTCAACTACTACTCCATGTGCTTCATGATGCACCCAACACATGCCGTATCTACCCCGATTGGAGTGCAAGCATTGGTCATGGTCAAAGTACATCACTCCGCATATGTAGTACGTATTGACCTCAAGTCGGAGGACTATTACACTACTCTATACGCCGATAATCCCATAGACACATGAATAGAACTTATCAAATGGTTTCTCGGTGGGTATGCCAATATTATCTAAAATATCTATGTGACCATCATGAATTACAGGAACTCATAGTCGTGAGATCAACTATACTTTCTAAAAGTATGATGCAGTCCACATACCAATCTTATCGCATATCATCAATATCCCATTCTTGATGATCATTGATTGGGGCTATCTTAGGACCTTATGTTATATCATATAAGCTTCCACGTACTTATTGACAACATAAATCCAAGGGAACACAATTAGGAATAAAACATTGACAATCGAAAACAATCATTCATAAAGTGTAATACCGTGTATATATCAAATATAAATACTAAATGTGATCAAGTACATATGTCTTTACAAAAATGATTGTCGCTAGGACATATATACTAACATGGGAACGGTGACTGATATGAGGTAGGTGAGAAGTAAAGTCCCTGGAGGATGAGACGCTTGTGATGTTTAAAACTTTAATTTATCGGTTTTGCCGGTATACAATGGGAGGGAGCATTTCAGGAAAAGGGGACTCAAAGTTGGGACTACAGGGAAATAATCAATAATAGGGATTATTAAAAGCGGACCGAGGATAGTTCATATTATTATTACCTATTTTTCCTAATAAATAAGTACTAAAACTAAATTAAGTTATATTTTAGCTGTCTTATTCTCTAAAATTACCATGAAGTACAATTTGAATTAAGATATAAAATTTAAGATATAAAATTAATATTGAAAAAAATTACTCCAATTTATGAACCAATTAGAGTAAGAAAGTAAACATTTGCATACCTAACAGGCTAACAGAGAGTGTAAAAATTCATGACAACAATTTATGTACAGTGAAATTTTTATAATCGCTAGGGGTGATCGGCCGTGCCACTCTAACCTATGTGTATAATTTACAAATAATAGTTAAGCTAATGGAGGTATTCTATATTCACATATTACAGGAAACAAAAAATCAGTATGTAATTGCATTTTCATTTACGAAATCAGTGTTTGTTCCCGGGTGTTGTGAGGAAGGAGATATTGGGATTATTTAACAAACGAATTTCTGTCTTTAGAGAAGAAAAACGGCTCTGACATTTCACAACCAAAACATATGCCTGAGATCAAGAAATAATTCCCAGTGTGGCATGAATCTGCCAACTTCTTGCATCAATGGCGGCTGACAATGCACGATTCAAGAGAGGGGAATCTGTAAAATGGATTCTTGGAAGTCCTGAGACTGATAATATGAATGATGTCCCCATACATTCAGGGGCATCCAGAGGGTTCAATGGCCTAAGGTTTCTTGATAGATCAATCACAGGGAAGGAAGCAGATGCCTGGAAAACTATTGAGAAACATTTCAATCAAAATGCAGAATCTGGGAAGCTTTACAGGGACAAATTTGGGGCATGCATTGGTATATCTGTTTTTTAATTCTATTTTAGCCTTTTTAATTAAATGAATGATGTATTCAATATTAACTTTCATAAAACATGTAGTCCAATGTCATATATGTTAGTTTTCTAAAAGTTTATATATACATTTTGGATTGAAGGAATGGGAGACAGCAAGGAATTTGCAGGTGAATTGTTCGATGCGTTAGCAAGGCGGAGGAAGATTGTATCAGAGAATGGGATTACTATAGACGAAATGCGAGAATTTTGGGAAGACATGACAGACCAAGATCTCGATACACGCCTCCACATTTTCTTTGACATGTAAGCAATTAGTTGCATTTTGTTACTCGGGATGAGATACTATACTCTCTTTAACTGTCAAATATATGTAGATTAGGATACAATTTTGAAACAGAATATTTATCACTAACGACACTAAGAGACTTGATTATTTGAATTTTAAAGGTGTGACAAGAATGGTGATGGAAAGCTATCTGAAGAAGAGGTCAAAGAGGTGAGAAAAGTTCCCTTGTGAGTTATGGTTTTCTTACAACAGCCTATTAAACATGTTGTGGAATAAGGTTCTAGTGATGAGTGCTTCTGCCAACAAATTGTCGACTTTTAAACAAAATGCGGAGTCCTATGCTACTTTGATCATGGAAGAGCTAGATCCTGATCATAATGGATACTTAGAGGTACAAATTTCACTTCCTAATGAGATCCATGGATCCTCCATCAAATCACATAGATAAATATAAAGATATAAACTAAAATATAGTCTTAGGATACTGCTCATATATTTTATTCTAAAGTTGAAATTTTAGTCTTAATCATCCCCGCTTTGGAGCTAATAATTTTTTTAAATGAAACAGATGTGGAAACTTGAAACTCTACTAAGAGAAATTGTGGGGTCAAAAGATGGGAGAGAGAACTACGTGAAAACGCATACATTGGCAAGAACCATGATCCCGAAACAATATAGGCATCCGGTGAGCAAATTCATGTCCACAACAACAGAAAAGATACACGAAAAGTGGAAACAAATATGGGTACTCACATTGTGGGTGTGCATCAATATGACACTCTTCGTTTGGAAGTTCAACCAATTCAAGCACAGAGCGGAGTTCCAAATCATGGGCTATTGTGTTTGCATTGCCAAAGGTGCTGGGGAGACACTTAAATTCAACATGGCTCTCATTCTCCTCCCTGTGTGCAGAAGAACACTGACCTCCCTTAGAGAATCATTCATCAGTGCAATAATCCCGTTTGATGACAACATCAACTTCCACAAGATAATTGCCCTTGCAATAGTGATTGCAACTTTTGTTCATGCATCAATGCACATTAGTTGCAATTTCTTTAGAATGGTGTCATGCCCTCAGAGTAAATTCATGGCAATTCTTGGACATCCTTTTGGATATCGCCAACCTACTTACCCTAACCTGGTTGCATCAATCCCAAGTTTAACAGGCATTTTGATGACTATTTTGATGGGTTTTATCTTCACATTGGCGACACATTCTTTCAGAAGGAATGTCATCAAGCTTCCCCCACCCCTCCATCATTTAGCTGGTTTCAATTCTTTTTGGTATACACACCATCTGTTGGTAGTAGTCTACATTCTCCTTATCCTCCACGGCTACTTTATATTCCTCACACAAGAATGGTATAAAAAGACGGTACACTCATATTTCTCCTTGATTATGCTTGTTTTGCTAAATCATCTCACATTGATAAAATATAACAATAGTAATAAATTCTTGTTAGTAAGACTTAGTCTACTCCTCCTAAAAGATTTTCCTTTTAGGACCCAAGTCCGAATTTTAAAAATTAAGATATTTTCTTATACTTAATTCTTTTTCCATGTATCATATAATGAAAAATTCTTTGCAGACATGGATGTATATCATAGTACCTGTGTTAGCATATGCAGCTGAAAGAATTTTCATTGTGTATGAAAATAAATATGATGTGGACATCATAAAGGTTGTACAACTTGAAGCATTTCAGTTAATTTTTCAGTTTTTGCTGAGAGATATTTAATCTAAACTTCTTTTTCTACACATGTTGTTAACTTTTTGCTGGAATAATTTACAGGCAGTGATATATACAGGAAATGTATTAGCACTATACATGAGTAAGCCTCCAGCATTCAAGTATAAAAGCGGAATGTACATTTTTGTAAAATGTTATGATATATCAAGCTTTGAATGGTAAGTGGATAAGAATAATGTTTTTGAGCACTTGTATTGCTTGCATTCTATATGCTAAGAACCCCCGCCCTTCCCATTCTATTCCAGGCATCCATTCTCAATCACTTCTGCACCGGATGACAACTACCTAAGCGTCCATATACGTACACTTGGAGATTGGACTACGGAGCTTAAAAGCAAATTTGCAAAGGTTATACATATGTTCTAGACATGGAACACAAATCTAGTGCATGTTTGGTATTTTGCTTATCAGTTTTTCTACCAAACATTAGCTTATTTAATAGCTTATTTAATCGTGTTGGCCAACATAGCAGATGAAAACAATCTATCAAATAAGTTCTCTTACTATATAAAAACGGAAATTCAATGTCTTACTAAGAAACAATCAATCAAGTCCATAAACTATTTTAAAAAATTCAATCGATCTGTTTAGCCGATTTCAATCTGCAAAAATAACTTCATTTCTTCTTCGTCACTGAAACAAAGAGGGAATTCATGTTTGGGACGAATCAGGCAAGCCGGGTGAGGGAAGAATCTGGTGATTGCTGGCATCGACTTGTCCTCTTCAGATTGGTGGTCAAGGAAAACTGAAAAATTAAAAAAAAAATAGAATAGTTGGACTCTTTTTTTTTAAGTACGAGAGCACATTTTTTATATAGTACGAGAGTTTATTTAAAAATTTAAAAAAGTTTTTTACTAAAACCATTTAATGGAATGCCACTGCCCCCTATTTTCTTCTAAATATTTCTTTAATGTTTTTTTGAAAACAAATACGATAGTATTTCTTTAATTTATATAAAAATACAGTATTGAAAGAATTGTTAAACAATTAAGTAATTTTAGTCAATTCAAACATATTGCCGTTTCAGCCATGATACGTAGTACGGAGTATAAGTTTACCAAACGGAATTTAAATCATAGGCATCTCTTTTCTAACGCTTCCAAACACAGGCTTGTGAACCGCAATCTGCACAACCAAGAGAGGGAAATCTCACAAGAATGGAAACGAAAAGGAATTCAGATGTTGGGCAGTCACAAACAGTGTAAGAAATCAAGTCCCAATTGCTAGTGATTCACATCATGTTTTCATAACCTCAACTAAACATAATGGTTTTGGTTGCTCAGATTTCCACAGATTTCAATAAAAGGGCCATATGGTGCACCAGCTCAGAGCTACAAGAAATATGACATCCTTTTACTCATTGGCCTAGGCATTGGAGCAACCCCATTCATCAGCATAATCAAAGATATTTTACACAATGAATCTCTCATGGTAAGTGTACATGAAAGTGATGAAACCTAACATTCGGATCTTCAAGAGGTGATGTTCGGGGCTAAACAATTCGGGATCACAAACTGACCTCGATAGGGCTAGTTAAGAAGCGAACAAACCATTATAGCACCGTACTTTGATACCATGTTGAATCAGGAAAAACTTACTCAAAAATAGCTTCAAGCAGTGAGGTTTACCTCATACTTATATATTTGGCAAAAATATTGTAAGCATCCGATATGAGACATTTAATAGTTAATTTATATTTTTAAATTTAGACTTGTTAAGAATATTAAGACTTATGACTTCATTATAGAGTAATCCAAAATGTTATACTGTAAATTAGTTTCGTATTTTTTGTCTTAACAAAGGATGGACATCCGCTTAAACTATTTGTAGGAGCAAAATCTTGAGATCCCATTGTCAGACACACAGCCTAACAGGACGGGGCCTCAAAGAGCTTATTTCTACTGGGTGACACGCGAACAAGGATCGTTCGAATGGTTCAAGGGAGTCATGGATGACATAGCTGAGTATGACCGAAATGTGGGCCCTAATCCTAAATACTTTAACAGTTTAGAAATATCTGCATTTTGTTTAATTGCACTTATAATCTGATGATGATATGTTCCAAAAAATCATGGCAGCACGTGATAGAAATGCACAACTATTTAACAAGTATGTATGAAGAAGGAGATGCTCGTTCCGCGCTTATTACCATGGTGCAGTCTTTACAACATGCAAAAAATGGAGTTGATGTTGTCTCACAGAGCCGGGTAATTAAACTACTCCTACTTAAGACTGAGTAATTAAATTCTAGCTATTAAGACTAGAGTTTTATACTGATAATGGAACTAGCCGAGGCCTTATAGGTTTGTTTATACATTTGTATTTATCCAACCCCCTCCCGCCTTTTAAGGTCATGTTATTATATATTCTTAACACAACACCTTTTCAACAGATAAGAACACATTTTGCTAGACCAAACTGGAAAAAGGTGTTCTCTCGCATGGCAGCTGCATATCCCTCTTCTAGAGTTGGTACTGGAACCCAAAAATATATTCATGTTTCTTATATACAAGTATATGCCATATGTATGTGTGTATAAACATATAGAATTTGGACCAAATGAGCATGCTATCTAAAGAGATATATAAGAATGAATCTGGTGCATTAGATTTGAGAATTGTGCATTACCAACACATAAATGTGGATTGTCATGACTCATGAGCCCATGAATCTGAAAATGCAGTGCCATATAAATAAATTGATTTTTTCCCTACCATTACAGGTTGTACATTATCTTAAATGTGGTGCCATAAACTCACATTGGCATGTGCACCGCTTTGCATCATTCTCATTTCTCACGGGAAAAACCATTCTCATCGAACTAAACCCTACACACACATAAACTTATTGTCTGTTTAATTTCCCTATATTGTTTTTTTCTTTCTGGTTCCTTATATTTTCTACTACTAATTTTATGGCAAACGGATGCAGGTGTATTCTATTGTGGAAGTCCTACACTTACCAAATCACTACAGAGGTTGTGCCATGAATTCAGCTTGAATACATCAACCCGCTTCAATTTTCACAAAGAAAATTTCTAGATTTGCTTAGGTCAGATTGTTGAACCATTTATATAGAATTTTCACTTGACTGAAGCCCTCTTTGTAAAACGACCATGTCATTTTCATGGTTCATCTCAACTGGGCAGTAATTCCAACATACATATGGCTAATATTCATGATTAAGTTAGCAACTCAATGTAATTATAACAATGCCAGTCATTTGTTTTGCACTTTTGCTATAATATCATGACAAACTGCCACTTCAAGATTCAAGAGAATCGATGCGGAAAAGGTACACAGTGAGCAACGGCATCATGTGTGTGTAATGTGTATAATATTCATATGTCACGTTACAGTAGAGATGAATTGTTTCCTCTATTTTTTTCTTCTTTTTTTCTGTAATTTTGGTTTACAAATAGCTTCATGATGTAACAGAGCATTAGCATGACCAATCTTGAAAAATATCAAGGGTCATGGTTCTTGGCTACAAACATGAATCCTTAATACCCCAGTTTAAACATAACTTAATGAGGTCCTATCCAAAATGATTACACATTAACCTCCAATGGCACAACCCATTAGTCTCTCAACTCAACATTGCAAATCGGCTCACCTTCCATACTAAAACAAGCCAAACAGGGTGGGGATCTTAAGTGCTCAACTCATTGTCGATTGGATTGTGCTTTAGAGCCTCCCTCCATATGAGTTCTTTTATGTCATCTTCGTCTAGAGATGCTTGTTCAAAATCAAAGACAAAGGGAGAAGGGCAAGTGGGCTCCTCATTGATTTCATGAAGACTTGATAGAAATGGATGGTTTAGGGCATCCTCAACTTTGTAAGACAACAAGAAGTGAATGAGTAATTAGAACATCGCTTTGGATCCATTTGGAATTCAGAAAAAAAATAGGGAAAGAAAAAGGGAGGGAAATATAAATTTGGAAAGAAAGAACGTGGGGCGAAAATAAAAACTTGCTCATTCACTTGGTCAAACTCAAGAAATCAATTTTAGATAGTTGTTGACAGTTATTTTATCTAAAAATTTGATTATTTGAAGACCAAGACATCTAAAAATATCCAAAAAATAACTCCTTTAATGAAATTTGATTCTTATGCATATTTTCCAAAGGTAGAACCAAACATTAAAAAAGTACTGAAGTACCGAAAATTAAAAAAGTTACTTCAATTTCTTTTTGGCTCTTTCCCTATGGTTTTTTCGAGTTCCAAACATAGCCTTCTTGAATGGGTAAAGCATTTCATAAGATATATAAGAGGGTACCGTAAGCCATACCAGTTATGCGTTTTGTTGGATCAAACAACAGCATCTTCTCTGCAAGATCAATAGCTAAGGGAGGCATATCCGGGAACATCTTGGAAAAGGGCTGTTTGGGAACATGAGGAAGCTGCTTTACATATTTTCTAGCACTATCACTCCTCAGGAACCCGAGATCAGAGTCTTCTGGGGTACCTAATAGCTATTTCACAGGAAAGAAAAGACCACAAACAAAAAGGTTTAACTTTAGAGCATGTTTGGTAAGCCTAAAATGGCTAAAGTAGATGAATTGGCTGAATCTTCTTTACCATCTACAATACCCATTTCAAATGTTTATTTAAATTAATTGGAATAAAAAAATATCTCGAAATAAGTTAGTTTTAATAGTTTATACTGAAATGTGTGACTAGACAGATAAGCCAAAAACATTGACTGCCAAATGGGCACTTAGATTCAAAGAATGTGAACGTGTTATAAAGTATATCAAGGGGCACCCTTATATACTCAGTACATGCATACCTCATTAATAAGGGTCAATTGCTGAACGTAATCTCTCCCTGGAAAGAGAGGCTCTCTTTTAATGATTTCCATTAAAATGCAGCCAACTGACCATATATCAATTGATGCAGTATATTCTGAGCAGCTGAGTAACAATTCAGGGGCCCTATACCACCTTGTGACAACATACTCTGTCATGTAATCTGCCTCTGATGTGGTTCGTGCAAGCCCGAAATCACATATTTTTAAATCACAATTTGCATCAAGCAGCAAGTTGCTGGGCTTGAGATCCCGGTGGAGAACATTAGCGGAGTGAATGTACTTTAGTCCCCTCAATAACTGATAAAGGAAATACTGCAAAGAACAATAAGAATACCACCGCTAAATGGTTTTGCAAGAAGTCCATCTTTTGGTAGAGGAAGATAGGTAATATTTAGCAATTAAAGTCAGATCATAAAACCCTACTTCAAGTTTAAAATTCTCAAGGAATGATGGTATGTGGTTACAGATATCAAGGATGAAAACAAAAAGGTATGGTCATATGGGGCTTGAAAGTAAGAGGAAATAGCAAATTTTGATTGAACAAATTGAACTCTTTATTGATTGAAGACTTGAAGTGTCTCACAATCTGAAAATCTAACAGTAAGTTTGGATCTCAGATAAAGGTAGTAAAGGGAAGGATGGCAAACAACGTTATTCTCTTGTGTTTGGTTTTACCTTGCACAATAGAATATGTTGAATTCTTTTTATATTCGTTTACATATAATTATATTTCTTACTCTTTATTTTATAAAACAGAAATAACTAAATAAATATAAAAGTTTGAACAATAAATTAAAACAAAAATATAAAATTATCCCGAGTATGACATGCATTTTGCTTTTCCCCAAATTTTCTATCCTTCTAACTTTCCTCTCAATTATCTACCCCCCCCCTCCCAGGTTCTAATCCCACCCTAAAGAATGGTTTTTTCCTATCATGCAAATGAACACAGAAATACAGAGCTATTTCTATCTTATTATATTCTTATGCATCTTTGACTATAAGAAAATAATGGACTAGAGTTCTGATTTAAACACAATGGACAAGATGCCTCACAGCCTCACTAAATCCATCATCACATAAAAAAGAAGCAACAACTTATCACATCAAACATATAACTAGTATTTCCTGTTCTGTGGAATTAAAACTCATTCAAGTAACATTAATGATTTAATGTGGTAAGTGCCTGCATCAAAATAAATACAAGCCTACAGGGAAATGTTCAGCCTATTCATCAATATGACATACAAAATGAGTTACTATAATAACCAGACATTAGTGAACATAATATGCCAACTTTAACATGCTAACAATATACACAGCAAACATACTTGACAATGATCTTCTGTGAGTGGCTGGGAAGAGCATATTATTTGGTGCAAATCAGTATCCATTAACTCATAGACAATATAAACGTCATTGAACTTCTCTCTATCTGGTGGCCGTATTATATCTTTGATTTTGATTACCTGTGGGATGGATATGCTAATGATTAAAATTTAATCAACTACTCCCTCCGTCCCTAAATGTTTGTCACACTTTCCCGAAACAGATGTCCCAAAATGTTTGTCATACTTTTTCAACTTACTTATTTGGTAAACAAATCTATACCAAATAGTGTCAAACAGTGCAAAACAATGCCAAACAGTGCCGGTACAGTGTGAAACAGTGTCGCTACAGTGTAAAGTCAAATTCATCTCCTTAAAACTTGTGAATTCAAAGTGTGACAAACATTTAGGGACGGAGGGAGTGTATGCCTACTATTAAGATAAAATCAAGAGAAATTAATTATTGTAGCACAATTACGACCCCATAACAAAGAAGATGAAAATGTGATTTTAGGATGTAGATAACCATTTACATTCTCATGATCCATGTGGGAAAGAAGTTTGATCTCCCGGAGAGTCCTTTTGGCATCAATCCTATTATCAAATGCATTCCCAATTTTCTTAATTGCAACCTTTTCCTTTGTTTCAGAATTCGAAGCACAACTGCAATAACATGTAAGAATAAAGTAACACGAAATTGAAGCCAACACTAGCATGTAAACGAAATTAAATCCGATTCAACAATGTTATATAGGGTGAAATTTTCCAACACCACCGTTTTAGCTGGGGAAAAAGAGGAAAGTGTGAATTTTTCCACAATCCGCTCCATCAATAAAATAACTGCATAAAAACGAAAGATAAACAGCTCTCTCCGAAACGAGAGATCCTACCAAACCAAGCCATAAGCTCCACGGCCGACGGGTTGAATAGGAGGCATGTACTTGGAGGGGACTTCGAAGAGATTTCCTAGGACGTTATACTGAGTGTATTTTCCGCCATGATTGGGAATCCCTTTGATCTCGACGATCTGATTAGTCTCATTTTCCATTTCCTCTTTGTCCATTTCTTTTACTCTGCTGAGTAAAACGGAACCAACGGAATATGCTAAATCAGCAAATAGCTCAGTGGAGGGGTGCGGGTAAAGGAGTACAAATTGTGCAATACGTTGGGGATGATTCCCTTTTTTGAAGTTCGAAATTCGAATTCTTCCACGTTTGCTGGCTGTCAAGACAAGTTTTAACGGCAGTATGCAAAAGATAATGTCACAATATTGTTTGGGAAATATCCCATGGTTCCATCTTTCAATTTTTATTTGTACAGAATTTGTGCACATTTGATATATATTTGTACGTAATTATATATACACACATATAATTGTGTACAAACATGTACTCCAAGAATTTTAAGTAAAATTTACTCTATTTTTTACATACCGAATTAGTAAAACTGTTGTAAAATCGGACCGGCTCAGACCTCAATCACCACCAAGCCCAAAGGCTTGCTCACACTCACCACCAGGGATACAACCGGGGAAGACAGAAGGGCGACAGCCAACTAGCCCTCACACAAAGAACCCAGACCCCAGCCCAGAGAACCCACCGGAGCTACAGATAACCCACCACACTACCAGACAAGAGTGAAGACCCCAATAGGAACCCCAAGGTCTCACCGGAGCAAAGCCGGAGCTAAAGCTCAGAGGAAACCGGCACTCTCTCACTCTAGGTCTAGGGTAACCGAACTGAAGCATCTTTTTAGAGAGAAGGCGGAGAGGCAGAAATAGGAGGATTCCAGAAGAACCAGCCAAAATATAAGGGGGGCCCACAAGGGATGGACCGGGTTATAAGACAAAACGGGGGGATGGACTTGGTCGGGTAGACAGCCCATTTGGGCCAGGACAATTAATAGGAGACCAACTCCATAAATGAGGTGGACCAAGAGGCAGCTCAGGGATGGCCCATAGATGAGGTGGACCAATACCACAACAATCTCCACCTTATTGGTCCCCCTGGTGGTGTAGAGCACAACGTGAAAGGGAGAATCATCATCGCCGGTTTTTCTTGTTTTACAGTTCTTATCTAGCCACAATCTAAATTAAGAATACGCTTACAAGACAACAGTTTTTCAAAAGTGAGACATTTAGTCCCCATATCTGCAGGGTTAAATTCTGAAGGTATCTTGGACAGCTTTATCCAACCTGCATCCACAATATTCCTAATAAAATGAAACCTGACATCAATATGCTTGGTCCTGTCATGGAATACAGGATTCTTGCATAATTGGATAGCAGACTGGCTATCAGAGTACACTGTCACAACCTGCTTAAGAAAACCAATTTCAGTTAGCATTCGTTTAAGCCAAATAGCCTCTTTAAAGGCCTCAGTGGCTGCCACGTATTCAGATTCAGTAGTGGACAATGCAACAATAGGTTGAAGTTGAGATTTCCAACTTATGCAGGAACCACAAAGAGTAAAAATGTAGGAAGTAGTAGACTTTCTATTGTCCCTATCATTTGCATAATTGGAGTCAACATAGCCAGTAAGTAAGATGCCAGTTTCAGTTTTAGAGAACACAAGACCATGAGAAGGTGTACCCCTTAGGTATCTAAGAAGCCATTTAAGGGCAGTCCAGTGAGACGTACCAGGGTTTGCCATATATCTACTTAAGCAACTAACAGCATAAGCTATATCAGGCCTTGTGCTTACCATGAGATACATGACTGACCCTATAGCACTGGAATAGGGTACAACCTTCATCCTATCTATCTCAGGAGCAGTCCTTGGGGACTGATCCTTGCTTAGCACAAAGTGGGGTGCTAAGGGAACATTCACAGGTTGGGCAGAGTCAATTTTGAATTTTTTCAAGACCTTTTCAAGATAGGAGGTTTGGTTCAGGGTAAGGGTACACCTACTCCTATCCCTAAGAATATTAATCCCTAGGATTCTCTTAGCATCTCCAAGATCTTTCATAGCAAAGTTTTCACAAAGGCACTTTTGAACTATCTTAATAGCATTCACAGAGGGGCTAATGATAAGCATGTCATCAACATAGATTAACAAGAAAACAGGTACAGCAGCAGTATTCTTAAAATACAAACAAGGGTCAGAATCAGACCTTTTGAAACTCAGGGTAGACATACACTGGTCAAACTTGATATTCCATTGTCTGGGAGACTGTTTCAGGCCATAGAGGGCCTTCCTAAGTAGACAGACATGTCTGGGGTACTTAGGGTCAATAAAACCCTCAGGTTGGCTCATGAAAATTTGTTTATCTAGTTCATCATGCAGGAACGCAGTGGTAACATCCATCTGCTTCATCTCCCAGTCATTATGGGCAACTAGGGCAATCATCATCCTAATTGTTGTGAATTTTACTACTGGAGCAAAAATTTCAGCATAGTCTACCCCTTCCTTTTGAGTGAAACCTTTTGCCACTAACCTAGCTTTAAACCTAATGTCATTTGGTTCTTCTTTAACTTTGAAAAGCCATTTGCACTCAACAACAGAACAATTAGGAGTCCTAGGAACTAGGGTCCAGGTTTTATTCAACTTAAGAGATTCTATCTCACTTTGCATAGCACATAGCCAATTTTTAGATTCTCTAGAGGCAAGGGCTTCCTGGTAGGTTTTTGGCTCATTCAACTCAAGGGTTTCAAAAACAGAGAAAGCAAATAATGAAGTATCATACAGGTGAAAAGCATAGTCAGTCATACTATCAGAAATCCTTTTAATGTTTCTTCTAGTCCTATCTCTGGCTAACACATAATCATCTAGACTCTCATTCGCAACTTAGATTTCTCCAAGTTCTTCATTATCAGCAAAATCAGATTGAACAATCACATCATGCAAATTTTCATCATTACCACTGGGCTGCTCCACCTCACTAGAGGTGGAGTGGGTGTCATGCATAGTGTTGGTCAAATCAGGAGTACTGGACTCATTCACTAGAGGGGCAGCAGTGGTCTGGATAGGCTCCACCTCACTAGAAGAGGTGCCATCATGCACAGTTTGAGGGTCAGTCACATTTTGAACTAAGCAGGGAAAGTCACTTTCATTGAACACAACATTTCTGCTTATAATGACCTTAAAACCACTCTGGTTCCTATCCCAGATCCTATATCCTTTAACGCCTTCAGGATATCCTAAGAAAATGCATTTCTTAGACCTAGGGTCCAACTTATCAGACTGTTGATGTACATAGGCAGCACACCCAAACACTTTTAAGTTTGACAAGTCCAGGGGTTTCTTAGAGAAGACAGACTCAGGACACTTACCTTCTAAAGGTACAGAGGGGGATCTGTTTATGAGGTAGGTGGCAGTATTGACAGCTTCTCCCCAAAACTTCTTGGGGAGGCCAGAAGTGGCAAACATACTCCTAACTTTGTCTAGGAGGGTCCTATTCATTCTCTCAGCTAAGCCATTCTGTTGGGGAGTATAGGGCACAGTCTTGTGTCTCCTAATCCCACTCTCAACACACAACCTATCCATATCCTTATTGCAAAATTCTAAGCCATTGTCAGTTCTAAGAGTTTTAACCTTACATCCAGTTTGATTTTCTACCATAATTTTCCATTCTTTAAACCTATCATACACATCAGATTTATGTTCTAACAAACAGACCCAAACTTTCCTAGAAAAGTCATCAATTATGGACAGAAAATACCTCCTACCCCCATGGGTAGGGACACTGGAAGGACCCCATACATCTGCATGTATGTAGTCAAGGACAGCTTTAGACTTAGGCTCACTAGAATGGCTAGAAACAGGAAACTGAACCCTATGTTGTTTACCTAGGACACAACCCTCACAGAAAGGTATGGGTGACACCAAGTCATTACCAAAACATCCAGTTTGTTTCAAAATATTCAATCCTCTATTACTCATGTGACCCAGTCTTTGGTGCCAAAGCACAGACTTGTCACTGAGTACAACATTAGCATTTTCAGAAAAAGGTTTGGCATGCACAACATAAAGGTTATTTTGTTTCAAGGCTTTAAACAAGACAAGGGAGTTTTTCAAAATCTTCATACACCCATTTCCCCATTTACCCTCAAGACCACATTCTTCAAAAACAGAAACAGAAAGCAAGTTGTGCCTAAGATCAGGGACATGTCTAACATTTTTTAATTTGAAAACAGTTCCATTTTCAAACTTAAGACTTATGTCACCCACACCATGGACCTTACACTTCTTATTGTCAGCTAGGGACACATAACCAGAATCACAAGTACTATAAGAAGCAAACAGATTTTTAAAAGGAGTCATGTGGTAGGTACACCCTGAATCTATTAGCCATTCAAATTCAGTTAGGTTGCTTAGGGCAGAATTAGCATGATCACAGATCATGAACACTTCTTCACTAATTTCTTTATCAGTCACAGAATTGGCCTGTTCATTTCTTTTGGGTTGGGGACAGTCCTTTATGAAATGATCTGGGTTCCCACAGTTATAGCACACTCTTTTTCTAGACTTATGCCTTTTCTTGCTAGGTTGTCTACCATTCTTATCCTGATTGTCCTTTTTAGGGTTTTTAGACCTACTTTTAGATCTTCCCCTAACAAACAAAGCTTCCCCAGATTCCTTATGATGGTTCCTAGAATGTTTTAAGTCAAGTTCTTTACTTCTCAGGCCATTAATAACAATATCAAGGGTTATGTCATCCCTCCCATATTTAATGGCAGACTTAACATCATTATAGGAATCAGGTATAGCATTCAACAAGACTATGGCAGTGTAGTCATCTATATGTTTATCCCCAGCTTGCTTAATGTTTTGGATTAGTTTGTTAAAAATATCTAGATTTTCATCAATATCTTTTGATAGGTCAAGCCTAAACCTAAAAAACTTTTCCAACAAAAACAGTTTGCCAGGAAGGGAAGTATCAGTATATAGAGACTCAAGTTTATCCCAGAGGTCTTTAGCAGACTCAATGACTCCAACCTTTCTAAGGACAGAGTCAGACAAGTTTAAATATATGGTTGAGCAGGCTATTTCATTCATTTCAACTTGTTTGGGTTTTTCCTCAGTTTCTAAGTATTGCCCAGTAATGGCTCTATGAACTTTCTGTTGTATTAACACACATTTTATCTTTTGTTTCCAAATGTCAAAATCAGTCTTACCATTAAAAGGCATCATACCATACTGGTTTGAAGCCATGATAACAGTTACAACACAACAGCAGAGATACAGGTAATAGGGGAGCTTAACCCTGATGGTTTGGGCTGCGGACTAAGTGACCACACAGTTCCGAGGCCACTGAAGT